AGGAGAGGGAGCAGGGAGAGGCGAGGTAGGCGGTAACAGTGACTGCGGCTGGACAGGCAGAGGACACTCTACGGAGGGAGGAGGACAAGGAGGAGGAGCCTGCCCAAGAACCTGCTGAAGGAGCGGTACGAAGTACGGTCGCGGCCGCGCAGCGTCTCCAGAAGCAGAGGAGACTCCAGCGGCCGGGTCCACAGCACCAGCAGCAGCCCCACCGGCCGGGTCCTCAGCACCAGTAGCAGCTCCAACGCCCGGGTCCTCAGCAGCAGCAGCAGCTCCACCGTCCGAGTCCTCAGTACCAGCAGCAGCTCCACCGTCCGGGTCCTCAGCACCAGCAGCAGCGCCACCGCCCGGGTCCTCAGCTCCAGCAGCAGCTCCAACGTCCGAGTCCTCAGCACCAGCAGTAGCTCCACCAGGCGGGTCCGCAGCACCAGCAGCAGCGCCACCCCCAGGGTCCGCAGCACCAGGAGCACCACTCCGAAGACTGCAGCGCCGTGTGTACCACTCGCGGATCTGCTGAATGGGGGGGAGCTCCTGGGTAGGAGGGGAAGTACCGGGACGAGCTCCAGCAGCACCTCTCCGGAGGCGGCAGTACTCGAGGTACCTCTCCTGCAGCTGCTGGGAGGAGAGGGCTCCTCCAGGTGTAGCACGCTCAGGCTCAGCACCCCCAGACGCAGCACCCCCAGACCCAGCACCCCCAGGCTCCGCACCTCCAGGCTCCGCACCTCCTGGCTCAGCACCCCCAGGCTCCGCACCCCCAGACTCAGCACTCCCAGGCTCAGCACCCCCAGACGCAGCACCCCCAGGCTCAGCACCCCCAGACGCAGCACCCCCAGGCTCAGTACCCCGAGCAGGACGAGAGTCAACAGCTACCTCGACAGGCTCACCCGGGTCTACCTGGGACACACCTGAGGGAGCGGCACCCTGAGGGGGGAGGGGGTCTGGTACCTCAGCACCTGGAGCGAGGAAGAGAGGCGGGGGGGGGAGCGGGGCAGTGCGGTAGGGGAAGAGGTGGTAGTAGGGGACGGACTCGTCAAAAGTGACGTCCTGAGAGGCCAGGACACGCCGCGAGGTGGGGTGGTAGAACTGCCAACCAGGGGCGTCCGGGACAAAGCCAAGGAAGACAAAGCCAAGGAGGGGTGACCAAGGCGGTGGTGCCACAGGAGAGTGTCGTGCGACAAAGCGCGACACTCGCAGGGGGCCGCCAGCTGACCAGACGCAGACGCAAACGCAGACGCAGCTACCTGAGGGGACTCAGTGGTCAGTGTGTACAGACTCGAGCCAGGTGCACGGGTGAACGTGGCCAAGTGCCGGCCCGTCCTAGCACACGTACAGTGAGTCACTCGCTGACTCGCAGGAGTGAACTGGTCAACCCCCCCATCCTGGAGGTCAGCTCCACTCACCAAGTTCGTAGAGAACGAGGGGAGGTAAAGACCTGACAGCGAGCCGGACGGGACGGCCGGACACGGCAGAACCGTGGAATAGTGGGCAAGGACTGGACCCCCAGAGGGGTCCGCCAGGGAGACCGGGACTGGCCGACGGAGCGGCGTGAGTGCGGTGCAGTCGCGAAAGAAGGAGCGGGAAGCTCCTGAGTCAAGGGTGAAGGTGTGCGAGACCGTAGTGGGCGCAGTACCAGAGAGAGCAGACACAGCAGCACCTGATGCCACGGCCTCACCAGTACCTAGAGTAGTAGACGTACTAGCACCGAGAGCAGCAGCCTCACCAGCACCTAGAGCAGGAGACGCACTAGCACCTAGGGCAGCAGCCTCACCAGGGTCAGGCGGTACGCACAGGCAACAGGCACGGTCAGCACTAGTAGACAATGCATACATGGCAGTGAGAATAGCATCATAGTCAAGCGCAAAGATATCTACCCTCTGTCTATGCAGCTCCAGCCAGGTGGGGAGCTCAGCCTCGTCGCCAAACACTGTGCGCCAGTCGTCGCTCAGACGGGCGAAGCAGCGGGACTGTGTGTGACCAAGCGTCCCACAAGGCTGACCAGTCCTAGCACCTGTGCGAATGACGTACGGGCAGCGGACTGTACGCGTAGACCTGCTACACTGAGCGTACCACTCCTGGAGCTGCCGGGGCGTAAGTGTCTCACGTGGACGTCCCTGCAGCTGCAGCTGGCCACTGCCAGACGCTCCCAACTGACCAGCTCCAGGGCGACAGCTACGACGGCTACCGCGACAACCCCAGCTAGTATACCACTCACTAAGCTGCTGAGGCGTCAGAGGCTCGCGTGAATGTCGCTGGAGCTGCATCTGGCCACCTGCCAGTAGCAGTAGCGCAGGCAAGGCAGGCGCGGCAGGCAGGCAAGCAAGCAGGCAGGCAGGCAGGCAGGCAGGCCGGCAGGTAGGCAGGCAGCCAGGCAGGCAGGCAGGCAGGCAGACAGGCAGGCAGGTAGGCAGGCAGGCAGGCAGGCAAGTAGACACGCAGGCAGACAGGCAGGCAGGCAGGCAGGCCGGCAGGCAGGCAGGCAGCCAGGCCGGCAGGCAGGCAGGCAGACAGGCAGGCCGTCAGGCAGGCAGGCAGGCGCTCACCAAAGGCTGGGAGAGCAGGGCCGGCGCTCGAGTAGGCGCACGACAGCGGCGACGTCGGGGCCGCAAAACCGGCTGCAGAGCAGGGCCGAAACAGCTGGAGGGCGGGGCCGCGTCAGCGGCAGTAGCAGGGTGGGGCCGCGTCAGCGGCAGGTCGGGGTCGTGGCAGCTGCAGGGCGGGGCCGCATCAGCGGCAGGTCGGGGCCATGGCAGCTGCTGGGCGGGGCCGCATCAGCGGCAGGTCGGGGCCGAGGCAAAGGGCCGCGCGCGGCCGCGCTAGGGAGTAGCGGGCCGCGCGCGGCTCGGCGCGGGCTGTTGCGGGCCGCGCGCGGGCCGTGCGAGGCAGGAGCAGGCCTCGCGCGGCTCGGCACGAGCTGCTGCGGGCCGCGCGCGGGCTGCGCGAGGCCGTAGCAGGCCGCGCGCGGCTCGACGCGGGCTGCGCGGGCTCGGCGCGGGCTGCGCGCGGCAGCTGCGAGCTGCGCGCGGCTCGGTGCGGGCTGCGCGCGGTTGCAGCGGGCTGTGCGCGGCTCGGTGCAGGCTGCGCGCGGCTGCAGCGGGCTGCGCGCGGCTCGGTGCGGGCTGCGCGTGGCTGCAGCGGGCTGCGCGCGACTCGGGGCGGGCTGCGCGATCTCGGTGCGGGCAGCGCGCGGTAGCAGCGTGTGTGCGGGCCCGACAGGCGTGTAGAGGCGGCGCGCGGGCCTTACGGGCCTCTAGGGGCAGCGCGCAGGCAAGGCAAGGCAAGGCAAGGCATACAAGGCAAGGCAAGGCTACGTGGGGTAGCGCGGTAACCGCAGCGGTAGGTGGGCCCGAAAAAAAAAAAAAAAAAAAACGGTCCTACGGACCTTAGTGCTCTGAAACCATGTCAGAATCTAGCAGCAGGAATGGATGAACTAACAGGATGCAGGAGTACAAGTAGTAAACCCTAACTAGGTTGTACCCCATATGGGCTACCCCACTACAGCCTAGACAATATGCAGCATATATAGTTTGACATAAGTGTGTGGGCAACAGGGCCGATGCAAGGCGATTGCCTTGCGCCCAGGACAGACGCGACGAGGACAGACGCGACGAGGGCGACGGGAGGAGGGGGAGCGACGAGCGACGAGAGGGACAAAAGTGACTGGAGGAGCGGGATCGATTAGAACGATGGACGCGACGATAGGTGCTGCTAAAGAGATGGTTCCCGCGAGAAATTTGCGCATACCGCAAGCGAGAGGAGGCATTGGGAGTGTCGTGAGGGACGGGAGTAACCTATACCATGCAACGAGGGAAGTTAGTAGGTTTGTCCTGGGAAAGGCGGGTACTAGTTATCAGTTGCTGACAATACTGTGCACCACGGAGCTAGATAATACGAGTCTAGAACGGTAGCTTCATGTTTCAAGTTTTCAGACGTATGAACAGTAGTGATGGTTTTGTCTATTCTGGCGAGGGTCGTCAGTGGTTTTGCTGTTGTGCTTTTGGCCAATCACTTTCATGCGCTTCAAACCCCTTCACAGTGGATCGCGAGAGAACACCACAACAAGGCGGGTTACCATGTTCTAAGGCGAAATCATGTTCAAGAATCTTGAACTTGAACCCTTGCCATTCTAGACTCGGGCTTTAAATCGACTCAAAAGCCATCCACCTGTCACAAATCTACCAGATTGCTGACCCAACGGAGCAAGCTGGAAGAGGCAAGGAAGACAATCTGCATTATTTATTTCTTCTTCCCCTTGCCTCCCTTTCCCCCTCCTTTTCCCGTTCCCTTCGCGCTCAGTTGAGCTGCCCTAGCGGCCGCAGCAGCCTTGGCGTCGTCCCTCTTCTTCTTCTCCTCCTCCCTCCTCGCTGCTGCTGCCTCCCTCTCTGCTCTCAACTCACTGCAACGAGGGCAGGGAAACGGGGAATGAGATTTTGAGGCAGCTGGGAACGCGTGGATTCTGAAACAACACCCTGCGTGCCGCTTTGCATGCGGCGCAGCACAATCACTCAAATCAGCTCTTCCAAGGAATTGCAGGAGGGGTCGCTTGCATTGTGTAGGGCCCTGCTTGAGATGCTGCAAACTGTGTGCACTTGCAGATGCTGCAAACTGTGTGCACTTGCAGATGCACCTTCACTCGCTCTCTTTTATCACTTTCTTCTCTCACTCAATGTTTTCATTCTCATTCTCTCACTCTCTCTTCCCACTCACTCTAGTCGGCCCTTTGCAGCAGCAGCAGTGGAAACGGAGCCTCTGGGGGGAGAACAGCCATGAGCCATGGGCTGGCTCAATGAACAACTCACTAATCATCGCTCTCTCACTCCCTCTCCTCCACGCACTCACTCCAATCTGCCCTTCTCAACAGCAGCAGTGGAGACAAAGCCTCTGGGGGGAGAACAGCCATGAGCCATGGGCTGGCTCAATGAACAACTCACTCACAAATCGTCTTTCTCCCCCTCTCACTAACTCTCCTCACTCACATTCTCTCCCCTCCTCCTTCCACTCACTCCAGTCGGCCCTTCTCAGCAGCAGCAGTGGAGACGGAGCCTCTGGGGGGGTGGACTGCCATGAGCTCCACTTCGAACACCAATGTGGCGCTGCCACGTGGACCAATGGGAGACAGATGGGGATAAAAATTCGTGTTGCTTCCTAAACGGAGGAAAAATGTAAAGCATGCAAAAAGCATGGAAGGTCTCATCCGGGCACACGAAGAAATAGAAACATGTTGGCACATGTATGCATGGACAGACCCTGGGATAGATGCACAGATGCTTGGGCATGTCTGGGCGGGCATGTACGGGAATGTATGGGCATGTATGGGCATGTATGGGCATGTATGGGCATGTATGGGTATGCACAGGCATGTACGGGCATGTACGGGCATCTATGGGCATGCATGGGCATGCATGGGCATGCATGGGCATGCATGGGCGTGGATGGGCATGTATGGGCGTGGATGGGCATGTATGGGCATGTACGGGCATGTACGGGCATGCATGATCATGTACAGGCATGTATGGGCATGTACGGGCATGTACGGGCATGTACGGTCATGTACGGGCATGTATGTGCATGTATGGGCATGTACGGGTATGTACGGGCATGTACGAACATACCCTGGAGGAATTTCGGGAGGAGAACCAGCATCTCCATATGCATAGTCTGATTGACACGTCAGCTCTGCCAGCTCACCCACCTGACGTCAGCACATGTATTTAGGTCAGGTAAGTGAAAAGGGCGCACGTGAGAGAGGAGGAACGAGGGAATGAACAAACAGGTTCGTACTCACAACAGTACTGTGAGCTTGATTACGATGTCTCATGCGCCTCACTGAGTAGAATTATTATATTAGGGTGGTTACCCTTCAAAAACAATCAATGTTTTCTGCCAGCCAGTATTAAGACAAAAAGCAAAACACACGACTCACCTTCATGCTCTTGATGCCGATGTCCCAGGCGCGAATGACCTTCCCCTTGCCCACTTCAAACGTAAACACAGCGTTGTCCTCTCTTGAGCTGTCAAACACCTCGCCCGTGGTTAGTCTCCCCTCGTAGTGCACTGGAGGGGGGGGGGCGGGGACGAGAGGAAGTGGCGGGGCCGGTTGGGGTGAGAGGATTGGTGGGGGTTGGGGGGTGGGGTGGGAGGGGAAGGGGGGTTGGGGGGGAAGAGGGGGAGATAGAGGAGAAGCATGTGGCAAAGGGGATAATTTGGTCGGTAGACCTTGTACACTCATTTCAGGATATGACTACACCACGCATCGCCTCGCGCTGTGAAAGAAGGCACTAGACTCAAATGAGATGCGTGCAATTCCGAAAAATATGCGGGGTTACCGGAGCAGCTGTTACTATCGCACCATCTGCGATTGGGTACGCATCGGACGGCTGCAGCGCGTCGGGTTTAGCGGCGCGGAGAATTTTCTTCACCACGCCACCGTCGCCGCTTAAATCCATGAGGCGCGATTCGACGCGTCGCTGTGCACGATATTACTAGCGCTACTAACAGAGCTGACACGTTATCAGGAGAGCTAACAGGCTACCAAGTTACTAAGGTAAACCGACGATTGCCCAGAGCTGACGTGAACAGAGTGATACGCGAACCAGTGTGAAGTGGATGACAGGGAAGGCGGAGGATGTTGTGGATGACGGGGAATGCGGGTGGGTGGACTATGGCTCTTGCTCCTGGCTGGTGAAAAAAAGGCGCGATAAGCACCCCGTTGAATGGAAGAGCTTGGATAATATCGAGAACGTCAAGAGGACTCACTGACACCAGTCACCAGCAGTCAAATTTCCGAGAGGGGGAGAACAGCAATGACGCTGATCCGCGATGTTGACACACTCACGTTGATTAGATAAAAACAAGGTTTTGAACGACTAAGCTTTTGAGAGCTTCTGTTAACAACATTGCGTGCGTTACCCCAAACACATTGTAAGAATCAGCCCATGATAAGTTCATGGAACATCCTGCTGTGAGTATAGGCGGCCCAGAAAGACATATAATATATGGGTGAGTTGGTGTGCCGACCAGCCATTTGAACGGTCTTATCATATTATTTGACATTATCATGCTGCTTCTACTCCCAGGTCACTCATTTGTGGCTGCTGGCTTTCCGAGCCGTTCTAATAATGCATCTGGTGTCATGAAGAATGGAATCAATAGCCTTGGAGTGTACTTCAGCTGGTGGAACCTGCCAAGGACAGAATGACCAGACAGATTGAACGTTAACACAGCACATCACACCTTTGAGTCGACTCAAAGCACACCACGTTTTGAGTCGATTCAAAGCACACCACCATGTTTTGAGTCGATTCAAAGCACACCACCATGTTTTGAGTCGATTCAAAGCACACCACCATGTTTTGAGTCGATTCAAAGCACACCACCATGTTTTGAGTTGACTCAAAGCACACCATGTCATTTCATAACCTCTTTTGCATTGCTTCTTTTTGAAAAGGTGACTCCTGCTCCTGTGGTGAGAGGAATGGACTAAACATGTAGAATTCGTGGGTCCATTCTCTAGAAACACCCTGACTTTCTCGGGATTGAAGCGGAGACAAACTTGTCGAGAAAACAAGAGGAATGGTTGGGCATTTCGCTCCTTGTAAAATGCACTCGTTGCCGGGATTTCTGTCCGTGCACCTCACCACAAGGGCTCATAATACAGTAGAACAAAGAACTCCTCACATTGCTCACCAGGAGTGGAAGGGGAGGGCGAAACAGTGCAGGTGGAGGTGGTTGACACTGTTGAATGGCGGGCGGTGGAAGCCAAAGCTGGCAGGGGGGATGGGAAGGGAGGGGGGGAGGGACCAATGAACAGGGTTGAGCGGAGCAAAGGAGCAAAGGGGAGAGAAGGGGAAAAGTGGTGTGTGCGGGTGGTTTGTGGGGGAGAGACAAGACGACGGGATGGGATGTGAGGAAGAGTCAGGGTAGGGGCGGACAGGGGCAGACGAAGGGAGGTGAGAGAGAGGGCAGTTGGAGATGAGCTGGCACTGCTGAGAACTTTTGAGGCGCCTCAACAAAGGATGGGTTTGCAGGGCGGATGAAGCGAGGTGACGGTTCAGGTGGAGTGGAGGTAGTTGGCTGGCAATGCTAGAAGTGGGACTGCGGAAGCAAGAGATCGCCGGCTGAGGAGGGATGAGAGGGAGAGAGAGGGATGTGAAAAATGAGGTGGTAACGCATTTGCTCACTGGTGGTAAACCTTATGGTCTGGAAAAATGCTTCTGAGTTTAATTCAAACGCATTTAAAAAACGTTGTTGTTGACTTACCAACGCACAGACTCGCTGGTACTCCTCGGCGGATGGAGTTTTCTCTAATATTCTTTCAAGATCATTTCCCATTCAGAGGGGTTGATACACTATCGCACAGACTCGCTGGTACTCCTTGGCGATGGGTGCATGTTCTTTCACAAGCTTATGGCGAGTTTTAAGTCGACTCAAAACTCGCTGTTGACTTATTAACACGCAGACTCACTGGTACTCCTTGGCGTCGGGTGCGTGCTCTCTGACGAGCTTCTGACCCACCTCCAACATCTTCTCCACTGGATGAATGAGAGGAGGAGAAGGGCGAGAGGAGGGAGGAGAGGGGCGAGAGGAGGGAGGAGAGGAAGAAAGGGGGAGAGGAGGGAGGAGGGGAGCTTATGACCCACCTCCACCATTCTCTCCACTGCATGGATTGAAGAGAGGGGCGACAGAAGCACGAGGTGGGGGGAGATGGGAGAGAGGAGAAAGGAAGGGGGGAAGGAGGGGCGATTTTGACCCACCTCCACCATGCTCACTGCATGGGAGGAGAGGAGGGACGAGGGACGAGTGGGGGGATGAAGGTTGGGTGGAGGGGAGGGTCGGGGGGGTGGGGAGGAAGGGAGGGGGGAGAGGAGGGACGAGGGGAAGGGGAGGAAGGGAGGGGGGAGAGGAGGGACGAGGGGAAGGGGAGGAAGGGAGGGAGGAGGGGGGAGCTAATGTCCGACCGCCACCATTCTCTGGGACGAATTATGAACGCAACAAGCGGGTATACAGGAGAAGGCAAGCTCTGAATGTAGAGCTATGCAAGCGAGTAAAAGTGGGGTGCAAAGGTCGTTATGCCAAATGTTTCATGTAGGAGGCGAACGGTGGAGGTGCAAAGATGGTTGGAACAGATGCAAGAACGGAAGGGACGCGGAGGGAGATGGGGGTACATGGAAGATTCGAGCCATTACACACACACATGAATACACACACCCCTGCACACATGCGCATGCATTGATGCATGCATGTGTATGCATGCATGTGCTCGTGGATGCACATACGCGACACGAACAACAATGGAAGCCCCGTCCGCAGAAATAGTAAGTAGAATTTAGCAACGCACCCAGTTGCCGGTGTGTTTCGGTGGGGGTGAGATCGTTCACTGTTGCTATGTGCTCGATGGGGATTACCTGGATGTGCCTGCATGTGCGTGGATGTGCATGGATGTGCATGGATGCATGGATGTATGGATGCATGGATGTGCATGAATGCATGGATGTGCATGGATGTGCATGGATGCATGGATGTGCATGGGTGCATGGATGCAACGATGTGCATGGATGCATGGATGTGCATGGGTGCATGGATGCATGGATGTGCATGTATGCATGGATGTGCATGGATGTATGGACGCATGGATGTGCATGGATGTATGGATGCACGGATGTGCATGGATGTGCATGGATGCGCATGGATGTATGGATGCATGGATGTGCATGGGTGCATGGATGTGCATGGGTGCATGGATGCATGGATGTGCATGGATACATGGATGTGCATGGATGTATGGATGCATGGATGTGCATGGATGCATGGATGTGCATGGATGCATGGATGTCCATGGGTGCATGGATGCATGGATGCATGGATGTGCATGGATGGATGGATGTGCATGGATGCATGGATGTCCATGGGTGCATGGATGCATGGATGCATGGATGCATGGATGTGCATGGATGCATGGATGTGCATGGATGAATGGATGTGCATGGATGCATGGATGTGCATGGATGCATGGATGTGCATGGATGCATGGATGTGCATGGATTCATGGATGTGCATGGATGCATGGATGTGCATGGATGCATGGATGGTGGACAAACACAATCATCCAAACCGGAAAGATTGCTCAATGGACCTTAGAACCCAATCGCTGTCCGCAAGAAAAAACCGTACAGCAGACAGACACGCTCATGCATGCACATACATGTACGCACGGCCAGCAGGCACACACATGCATGCATGTACGCATACACACCTCAGTCACAGATGTACCCTTTGGCAGTGATGTACACAGACGGGCTTATCAAACCACGTCTGCTTCTCCCCGCCAAGGATTACCCCTGCCACCAACCCCCCACCAACCCCTTGTATAAAACCACGTCCGCTAGTGTTGTGCACATAGGATGGTCATGACTTACTTGTAAGCAGCTGGCTTTATATCGGGGAATGCTACTAACAAGTCATCCTGCTCTGCACAACGATCCACACGGTAGCACATACGACACGACACCAAGCCGCCATTCCAATCAATGCCATCCCATCCCATCCCGTGCCATGCCATGCCAGCCAATGCAATGCCATGCCAGAACGTGAAATAGTCAGATGACAACAGTAACCATCAACAGGCATGCCTAAATTGTGGGTGATAGCAGAGCTATACGTTGAATTGACTAATCAGAAATCCTAGCCACACGTGGACAAAGTACAGCGGAGTGAGATACGAACGACTATCCACAATCGAGTCACCTTGTAAAGCAGTGTGGTGGGCTCACGACCCGGCCGAGTGACCCCCTTGGCGATGTCGCAGAAGATGCAATTGAGATTTTTCGCCATTCGCATGCTGCTTTCGCTAAGGGGTCAGGATACGACTCGCAGCCCGGTGCACGAAGGATAATCGCGTTTTGACAGCGAAAAGAAAGGTGCGCCGTAACAAATCTTTGAGTCAACTTTGAAGTTACCGCGAACGATGACGGAAGGACGATACGGTAAGAACGATGAATGCGAGGCCACTCGCGAGGGTTGTCCTATAGTGACGGCATTGCGCTATGATACACCATCAGGGTGCGTGCCTGAAGCACTTAATGCTATCTGACTATTAAATATAACGCTTCGTTAACAAACATTGGCGAGTCTGAACGAGTTAATGCGTCTACTGATACGCTTCCTGACTCGACAATAACCGTTCACTCAACAATGGAGTGGCTGGACCAGCTACCGCGAGTGTAGTTTCTCAAAAGGCGCAATATCTTTCGTAGGTATGTGAGTCGATCATTCCCGCATCGGATATCAACCCACGCAACGCGACGCTGAAAAAATACGTGACCGCTTTGCTCGCTGGTCAACTATCGCTGGCGGATCGCGCGCGTCATCAACTCCGATGTTGGGAATAGTTGCTGCTGGAAGCATTGTGAGCGCAAGGATATCCCGCTGACCTGTGGGTGGTTTGTGTTCCACGTTCCCAGGTTGGTTTGAAGGGATGGTTGGGAATCTGTAAGGCGTTAAAAGCGCCACCGATATATGTAACGTGTGCAGCACACAGAAAATCAGGAAGTAAAAACACTGTTCAATGGAAACATTGATTTACGATTTAGGGTCACCACCTTAACTATATAAACAAGAATACTGGACGAGTGTACATTTCATCAATAAGGTTCCACATATATTTTCCTGCCTTTTTAGCTTGTGATTGTCCACTCGCTGCTGCAGTTGCTCGTGCTGCAGCTGCAGGCACAGGTGTCCCCCCAGCAGAACCCTGTTCAAGCATCCGTTCCCCCACAACACTCACTGCCGCCGCCCCAGCAGCAGCAGCTGATGCAGCATCACCACCACCACCACCATCACCAGAATCAACCATAGCAGAAGCACCAGCAGCGCCAGCTGCACCAGACCCAGCAGATCCCCAAGATCCACCCAGGGCAGTAGGAGATGCAAGAGAGGAACCAGAAGCACCTGACGCACCTGAACCACCGCCCCCCGCTGCTGTAGCAACACCAGTCACACCGTTTTCACTGGACCCACCACCCCCAGCCGCAGCATTCCCAGCAGCAGCATCAGCAGCACCAGGAGAACCACCTTCCCTGCTGCTCCTGCTCCTGCTTCCACTGCTTCTCAGATCAGTCTTTTCCCATTTCCAGCGCTTCTTGCTGGGGTCGTTGCTGTCAGGCACCAGCACAAACCGCCCACTGCTCTCCCTCATACTCACCTGCTTCGTACGCTGCTGCTGTTGCCGCTGGTGGTGGTGGTGGTGTTGCTGGTGGTGGTAAGGTCGCTGGTGCTGCTGGTGCTGTCGGTCGTGAACCCTGGCGTCACTCCTGCTGCCCCTCATCCCTCCTCCCAACACCCTTACCTCTCTCCCTGGTGACAATAGGTCAGCAAAAGGGCGCCTGTCCCTTACAGACCCACCTGTTGTTGATGCTGGATGGGCAGAATTAGAGACATTGCTAGATGCAGTGAATCTGAACGGCTCGCTGCCCTGCTGCTCCCTTGCTGCTACTCCTGCTGCTGCTACTTCTGCTGCTGCTGCTACTTCTGCTACAGCTGGTTCTGCCCCTTCCGCTGCTTCCGCTGCAGCGCCACCAGTTGCAGCACCCACAGCAGCATCACTGCTGCTACCCCTCTCTCCAATCACAGAGGATCCACACTGCCTCGTGCCCCCTGCTTCTCCTCCTGCATCTGTTCCTCCTCCTGCTTCTCCCTCGCTTCTTGCGCCTCCTCTTAGCGCCGCCCTCGCCCTCAGCTGCAAGGCATGCTGTCTCAGCAGACCCACTTCGTGAGGAGACAGCAGGCCGAGCAGGGGAGAAGACGAACCCGCACCAGCAGGAACCACACCGGCAGCCACCCCAGCAGCCACCCCAGCGGTAAGCCCAGCAGCAGTTGCAGCGGAAGGAGCAGAAGAGCCTGCACCACCACCAGTAGCAACAGTGCCAGCAGCACCACTAGAAGTGCCTCCGCTCAAAACCCCCACTTCACCACCACTGCTGCTGCTGCTGCTGCCCACGTGAAACCCAAATTTTCTTACCACAGGCCCCCTGTGCCGTCCCATGCTTGAATCGGTGTTCTCTAGTAAATACTCGATACTGTCGTCCTCCCTGACTCTTTTAAGAGGACTCAACTCGCCCTCCGCGCCACCAGATGAGTGACGGCTTAAATACCCTGTCACTACTCCGTTGCCCGCTCTCCCATGCTCATCCTGTCTCCCTACAAGGCTCCTTGTTCCCACAATTCCAGATCCAAGCATGTCACTGGTGGGAAATCCAAGGGTATTTCTGGGGAAATCACCATGGAAAAAGAGCGCCTGCTCTGCAGCTGCGACCAGCTTCGCCAGGACCACTGCTGCTGCAACGTCTGATGCGCCCTCTACACCCGCAGCAGCAGCAGCAGACGCAGAAGCTGCAGATGTGTAAGACGCAGAGCCACTGTTTGAAGTGAAACCAGCAGCAACTTGGGAAGCAGTGCCACTGACTGAGGTGAAAGAAGTACTCGGAGCACAGGAGGCAGCATTTGGAGCACAGGAGGCAGCATTTGGAGCACAGGAGGCAGCATTTGGAGCACAGGAGGCAGCATTTGGAGCACAGGAGGCAGCATTTGGAGCACAGGAGGCAGCATTTGGAGCACAGCCGGCGCCACCAGAGACACTGACGGTACCATGTTCAGCAGCAGCCGCCGCAGGAGCAGCAGCAGCAGTGCCACGCACAGAAGCACCAACCTCATCACCAGCAGCAGCAGTAGTAGCAAGAGCAGCAGCAGTCTCATCAGACTTATTCTCGGTGACAGTGACTCGATGAAACGACTCTGCCAATGCCACTGCCACTGCTTCTGCGCCTGCTGCTGTGTCTTCTGCTGTGCCTTCTCCTGCTGCATCAAATGAAGGATCTACTTGTTTTCCAGTCGTCCCCTCCTCCCCCCCTCCGCCCTGTATCCTCATCCCACCAGCCACTGCCAAGCCAGCCCTGCGAGTATCCCCCAACTCACCTCCACAAACCGCCGTGTCCTCCTCTCTCTGCTCTGCCTTCTCTCTCCCCCTCCGCCAATCACTTTTACTATCAAACTCCGCTTCTCTCCTCTCTTCATTCTGCAGTCTCTTCATTTCCGCCCTCAATCTTTCCACCTCCTCCGCCATCTCTGCACGCTCCACCACAGCCTGCACCCCCACCCGCTCCCTCACCTCCTCCTCCACGTGTCTCTCTCTCAGTTTCTTGATTTCTTCCCCCATTCTTCCCACCTCCTCTGCCACCTCTGCATGCTCCGCCAGTACCTGTGCCATCGCACGTTCCCCTTCCTCCTTAGCTGCCGCCAGCGCCCCACACTCCTTTTTCAGTCTCTTCACTTCCCCTTCCATCTTCGCCATCTCACCCACTCTCTCACCCACCCTCTCTTTCTTCCCTTCGTTGTTCCACTGCCCAAACACCATGTCCTCTCCATCCGCTACATGTCTCTCCCTCACCTCTGCCCTTAATCTCTTGATCTCCCCTTCCATTCTTTCCACCTCCTCCACCATCTCTGCATGCTCCGCCAGTACCTGTGCCATCGCCCGCTCCCCCTCCTCCTTAGCTGCCGCCAAGGCTCGGCACTCCTCCCGAGCCTCCGCCAGGGCGGATTCCAAGGTTCGGTAATCCGCCAGCAAGGCTCGGATGTCCTCCAGCTGTCGCTCTGTCAGCTGCACAGATTCGGGAGGACTGGCCTGGTGGGGCAAAGAAGCGTCAGCAGCAGCACCACCAGCAGCAGCCGCCGCAGCAACAGTTTCGGCACCACCACCAGCAGCAGCAGCAGCATCAGCAGCAGCAGCAGCAGCAGCACCATGAGCAGCAGCAGCAGCAGCACTTGCAGCGACAGCAGCAAATGCTGCGCCTTCTTTCCCTGTTTCTCCCTCTATCCCTTTCGCCCTCGCCTCAGCTGCTGCTGCAGTAGCACGCACTACAGCAAGCTCCTCTAGGGCAGCAGAAAGCGCCTGCTGTGCTATTTCTAGCGCCTCTTGTGCTGACTCTAATTCCTGCTGGGATGATACTAGTGCCTGCTGTGCTGATTCTAACTCTTTCGCCTTGGCTTCCAGTGCTGCAGCTGCCTCCTTTGCCCTCTCCTCCCACATCACTGCCCTCCTCACACTCTCTCCCACCCTCCTCTCGCTCTCCTCCGCCCTCCTCTCACTCTCCTCCACTTCCCTCTCCCTCTCCTGCAATCGCCCCATCAGAGCCTCCACCTCAGCAGCACCCGCTTTCTCCCTTGCAGCTGCAGAAACCACAGCACTCGCAGACACCTCCTCTCCTGCTCGCCGCCTCTCCCCTTCCAGCATCACTAATCTCGCCTGCAGGGACGCAATCATCTCCTCCCGCTTCTGCACCTGCGCAGCTGCTGCTTCCTCAGCAATCGCAAACTCCTCTTCTACTCTCCGCCTCTCCCCTTCAAGCATCACCAATCTCGCTTGCAACGAAACTATCAGCTCCTCTCGCTTCTGCAGCTCCGCACCTGCTGCTTCCGCACTCGATCTTTCTGCTGCTCTTGCCGCTTCTGCCGCCGCTGCTGCTGCTTCAGCCCTCGCAACCTCCCCCTCCGCACGCCTCCTCTCCCCTTCCAACGCGCCCATCCTCACCTGGAGGGAACCAATCAACTCGTCTCTCTCCCTCAGCTGCCCTCGCACTACCCCTGCTTCCTCCCTTGCAGCCGCAGCAGCTGCAACAGCACTCGCAGTCTCCCTCTCCGCTCTCCTTCTCTCCTCCTCCAACGTTCCCATCCGCGCCTGCATCGAGAAAATCATCTCGTCCCGCCGCCGCAGCTGCCCTCTTAGCCGCAGCACCTCTGCGCGGCTCGCACTCACGACGGATCCCAGCGGCCTGTGAAGCGGATGCTGCGACCCCAGCTCCGCGCTGCTCATACCTGCCGATGCCAGTGGCTTACCCACGGCAGGGGAGGGCAGCGGGGAGAGGTGCGAGCAGAGGGATCCGTCAGAAGACCGCGGGTGAGACGTGGTAGACCCTGGGGTAGGCCTTGGGGTAGGCGACGGTTGGAAAGACGACTGTGGCATTGAAGACCCTGGGAGTGACGATCCTGGGATGGAAGAACCTGGGAGGGACGATCCTGGGATGGTGAACCCAGGAGAAGCCTCAGGAGTTACTCCAGGGAAGGCTGACCCTGGCGAGGACTTGCTGAACGTCTCTGATCCTGGGAAGCCGCCAACGCGGGAGCTGTCCAATTCGAAAAGGGCATTGTTGTACGCATACGATGGGTAGCTGTCAGTCAAGGCTTTCACCCCTCCTCTTTCCTGTTCACGTTCGCATTCTCCTTCTCTTTCTCCTTCTCTTTCTCCTTCTCTTTCTCCTTCTCGTTCGCCCGCGTGCTGCTGCCACTGATACCCCCGGTGCCATTCGTCCTGCGATCCCTCTTCGTACTCCGCCCCTTCACTCGCCTCCACGCCCCCATGCTTTCTCTCTCCCTCTCTCTCCGCCCTAGCAAAACACCCGTCCTCACTCCCATGCTTGCAGTGCCGCGAGCAGGGAGAAGCGCCCGCATCCGACTTGCCCCTGGGCGTGCTGTGAGGACTGTGAGTTACACACGGGGACGCTCGTCTATCTGTCCTACCCCTAGAACGCCCCGTTCCCTCAGCCTTAGCCCTGCCCTGAGATGGCCCCGTTTCATCAGCGCTGCCCCTGGAACGGAGCACAGAGGCAGGCGAGACCATCTTCTCCTCCTCCTCACTCGAGTTTGGAACAGCCAGAGCACCATCACCAGCAGCACCGCTCGATCCACCAGCAGCACCGCTCGATCCACCAGCAGCACCATTCGAACAACCACTACCGTTACCACCACTACCACCACCACCAAACCCAACGCCATCAGAACCGGTGCCGCCCGCACAGCCCGCAGCAGCAGAGGCAGAAGCGGCTGCTGCGTGCCCCACTCCGGGCTCTTGCGCTTCCTTATTTGCCGCTGCGAGAGAGAGGCGTTTCAATCCCTGCTCAAGAGCACTCGCGGTAGTGCTGGCGTTGTTGGTGGTGGGGGGGGTGCGAGGGGAGCGTGCAGCTGCTGATGTATGGTTCACATTCTTCTTCCTTCCTCCTGCTTCACCTGCTGCTCCTGTTGCTCCTTCTCCTCCTGTTGCTGCTGCTGCTACTGCTTCTCCTCCTGTGCTTTCTCTTCCTCCTCCTCCCCGTCCCCCCTGCCTTCCACTTGTGCTGTGACTATTCCCTCCGATCCCATGCTCCTTGCACCTTCCTCTTCCCTTCCCGTTCCCCCCTCCACTCGGCACTCCCGAAGCCGCAGTGGTGCAACAGGAGGCGTCGGAACCCCGGCGAAACGGCAGAGGCTGGGCGCCGTCGCATGCGTGGTGCTGGTGGTTGTGGTGATGGTGGTTGTGGTTGCTGTAAGCAGGCCCGGGATGAAGCTGCTGCTGCTGGTTTTGGGGCATCTGACGGTTGCGGAGGCCAGCTGCCATCGCGGCGGCTGCCACCGCGCCCCCTGCCAGTGCCGCCCAGGGGAGCGCCTCCGGGGGGAGCAGGCGCTGGATAGACCAGGAGAGGGGGATGATGGGCGAAAGAAGGGGGAAATGCAGAGACGGCGAGTGAGGAGGGATGGGACGGAGAGGGAGGAGACAAAACAGATATTCATATGATTTAAAAAAAGGCAACAAAGCAGCCCTGCGGCTGCCATCGCGGCTGCCGCGCCGCCACCGCACCCCCCGCCAGTGCCGCCCAGGGGAGCGCCTCCAGGGGGAGCAGGCGCTGGAGCGGGTGAGGAATAGGGGGATTGCAGAGACGGCAGGTGAGGAGACGGGAGGAGGGAAGGCGGAGGAAGGGAGTGCGCGGAGAAGGGGGAAGGGGCGACAGAAAAAATAATTTAGTGGGAATTGGAACGGAACCTTACGCTAATCTGTCTCATTTTGATCATGTCACCTGTCACAATCTGTTTCTCTGGTATAGAACTTCGTACTTAAAAAATAATCAACATTTCGAAATATACCCTCCAAAAAGTTTATTTTCTTACCCTGGAATAAGCGTCTCTTTGCCTTGATGCTGAAGATGACTCATCCTGCTTCTGCCGCTTCGGCTGGGCTCCTAGTTGCTGCTGCTGTTGCTGCTGAAGCTGCTGTTGGTGCCGCTTCTTTTCTTGATCTGGAGCTGACGATGCCTCTCGTGAAAATTTTCGAGGCTGCGTCTCAGGTTGGGACCGAACCTCTCTAGCAGCTGATTGCGGTGTAGAGTCCTTAAGCGACACGTCCACCTCAGCACGTTGCGACGAACTACTGATGTGTCCGCTGGCTCCTGCAGTGACAGTCGCCGTGCGAACTTTATTCTGCCGGAGGAAAAATAAACAGGGTATGCGGCAACGGGTCACTCGAGAAAAAAAAACTCAAACAAGTTCAAAATGCCTCTGCCGCAGAGATCGTCATCGGAGTTCCGAGTAGCTCGGAAAAAAGGGACCGAAAACGAGGGCTCAAGGGTCGATCACCATGCTTTGCGGACTTAGGAAACTGGCGTCGACTGTAATTGACCGGGGAGCAATGCCCTTTTCAGCGACGATGCCCTTCGTCAAATGTTTACCTTAATGCTGATTGATCCTTTCTGCGTGACATAAGTGCTCCAGTCGTGCCTCTCCATGAGGGGACTAATCTGGTGGCTCTAAAAGTTTAAAATTTTATCTGGTTCGCCGGTATAAATATTATACATTATGTCGCAAAAACAGGCTGGCGAACTAACGGTTGGGCGGAAGGAGTAGATCGCTGCAGCCACGCCTCTGATAAACAACTAATGAAGTAGATCGCTGACCAGAACCTAAATTATGGCGGGAAGCTCCTTGGCTTGGAAGTGGTTGATCTGTGCATGCCCAGTACAGTAGCCCATTCCAACCCAAGCAAAAAGGTGAACTCGAGGGTTGTTCAACCTCGAGATTTGCTCTTTCCTGGCCTGGAGCCATGAACTGATAGGTCACCCTTAGAAATTTGTGCGCAGCCCAATCTGGCAGAATCCACGGTGCAGGTTGGTGAAGTTGCTCTTCACGATAGGTAATACTCCATCCACAAATTCCTTCAATTTTCGCTTGGGCCTGATTTTTGCGAAATGGGGGATCAGCGAACTAGTGGACGAGAACGATGGCGACAGCACCCATGCTGCCACGTTCAGCGAAACCTACAACTCCGAACTGGGACTCCGCGGTGGTTCGCCTTGCACGAACGAGGCAACTGGAAGGCGCAGAGCCGTTGGAGGCGAGGCGAGGGTTCGAAATTGCTTTTCGGACACTAGGTGGTGACTTCGTCAGCGCCTACAAATGGTAACCAGCTCAGCACAAAAACTCAGCACGAGATAACGGCGGTTGAAAAAGGTTTCGTGCAATTTAGTGTGCTGCACAGCGGTTCCTCCTGGCCTTCCAGATTACTTTTCCTGATCCAAAATTCTCGCACCAGCTTCGCTGCTGACTGGTGAAGTCACCCAGCCAGCTGCTTCATAAACCAACAGCCATGGTTGATCCGGAATGCATCCGCTTGTATTACCACTGTTACTAGGCAGCAAAGCGACACGTAACGGGCAATTCTGGTCGAAAATAGACGGCACAGTAGGGTCCAGCCCTGGAGCGAGCGGCGCTTTCGTGTCCGCAATGCACGGCGTCCTCCGGTCCGATGGATCGCTAAACCGTCTGCTGCATCGTCCACTCCACCTCCACCGACTCCTCCGTCAACACCGTTGTACCACTAAGGTACCGTGCTGCACCGATACTAGTACCGAAACTCGACTTAGTAGCACGCGTGTCTTTCTGTCCTACCTCAAGCCTTCGGCTTCGTCAAAACGCATTCCTCTCAAATGTCGCCTTTTTATTCCCCGCATCTCCAGGCGTTTATCGCACTTTTCCTGCTTCTCAGTGCTGCTCTCTCCGCTTCACAAGCTACCGAGACGCAAGAGTCGCCTAATGCGACGGATCATACGCGAGACAGCCACGGTGACTCGTCCGCGTCTACTCCCACCAAACCACCGAAGATCACACCGTTCAACTTCACTCTTTACCACTCCAGGTTCGAATCCACGCGGCCCCACTTTAGATCCTCGTCCCAGGTTCGATTCCTCGCTCTGGCACTAAGCCACTATTTCGGGGGTTTCAACTGTAACTCTACGCCCTGCATACGTATACCACAGGGTTGACTTTTGAGTCGACTCAAAAGTCACCAAAGTCGCCCTGCATACGTATACCACAGGGTTGACTTTTGAGTCGACTCAAAAGTCACCAAAGTCGCCCTGCATACGTATACCACAGGGTTGACTTTTGAGTCGACTCAAAAGTCACCAAAGTCGCCCTGCATACGTATACCACAGGGTTGACTTTTGAGTCGACTCAAAAGTCACCAAAGTCGCCCTGCATACGTATACCACAGGGTTGACTTTTGAGTCGACTCAAAAGTCACCAAAGTCGCCCTGCATACGTATACCACAGGGTTGACTTTTGAGTCGACTCAAAAGTCACCAAAGTCGCCCTGCATACGTATACCACAGGGTTGACTTTTGAGTCGACTCAAAAGTCACCAAAGTCGCCCTGCATACGTATACCACAGGGTTGACTTTTGAGTCGACTCAAAAGTCACCAAAGTCGCCCTGCATACGTATACCACAGGGTTGACTTTTGAGTCGACTCAAAAGTCACCAAAGTCGCCCTGCATACGTATACCACAGGGTTGACTTTTGAGTCGACTCAAAAGTCACCAAAGTCGCCCTGCATACGTATACCACAGGGTTGACTTTTGAGTCGACTCAAAAGTCACCAAAGTCGCCCTGCATACGTATACCACAGGGTTGACTTTTGAGTCGACTCAAAAGTCACCAAAGTCGCCCTGCATACGTATACCACAGGGTTGACTTTTGAGTCGACTCAAAAGTCACCAAAGTCGCCCTGCATACGTATATCAAAAGGGCTCTTTTGCAAGGCAAAAGGACACAAAAGTCACCAAAGTCTCCCTACAAAAGGGCTCTTTTGCCCTGCGACCTCCCTTGCACTCGATATTTTTTTTGTGTCACATGAAAAGCCTTGCCCATAATTCACCCTGCCTGTGACTACCGTGTTGAACAATCCCACCCACGCAGTGATGCATTGCTGCGCAAGGTTCGCGCTCTTGCTGCTCGGCATCCCCATGCTGCAGAGGTGAGCTGTGCGGTTGTCTTTGCATAAAAAGACAGTAGTGCTGCTCGTCCTGGCTCACAGACCTTGTTACCGGTCATCCCATCTCCATGCTGGCATGCTGCAGCAGTGGTGAGTAGGTTGGCCCTTGCTGAATTGGTTCTATTCTTTTCTTCCCTACGTCATGTTGGCAGTGGTTTGAGCAGAAACATGGTATGATAACGAATTAGTTCTTATCAGTTGACTTTTGAGCCGACTCAAAAGTCATGTCGGCAGTGGTTTGAGCAGAAGCATGGTGCGATAACGAATCAGTTCTTATCAGTTGACTTTTGCGTCGACTCAAAAGTCATGTCGGCAGTGGTTTGAGCAGAAACATGGTGTGATAACGAATCAGTGAAGTCTCGTCTCACCTAGGAGGATGACGTCAAGGGTGCCTTCCTTTCCTTTCCTTACCTCTCCCTGCCTTATCATTTTCTGCATTGCCTGCCTTCCAACCAATGCAGCTTAAGGAGATAACGATTCAGTCTTCTGGTGGGTACACGTCAACCCTCACTGCAGTCACGCTACACTGTGCCCGCATCCCACTGCCTCGCTCCCAAGCTGACAGACCTCTAGCCTCAGATGCAGGCTTGGCTCGAACCTCCAGTTCAGGCTTAGGAAGTGGCGGAGTAGGCTTGGACGGAAGGCATGGGATGGAGGAGGGGGTGGCAAGGGAGCATTGGATGAGGAGGCGGGATGGGGCGAGGAGCAGCACGCACAGGCGGCTCATCAGCAGCAAAAGCAGCATAGTCAGCAGTGAGGAGAGTGAGAGGAGTGAGAGGAGTGAGAGGAGTGAGAGGAGTGAGAGGAGCACGGGTGGGATGAGTGGGAGGAGCACGGGGAGCAATCCTGGTGAGAGCAGGGACGGCGGGGAGAGCAGGGGAAGCAGGGAGAGAGGGGAGACAAACCTCACAACCGCTCTCCACTCAGATGCTGTCACAACTCCCTCGCTCAGGAGGCACCTGCGCAGCATACAGCCCGGTGCTGGTGCTGCTGCTGTTACTGCTGCTGGTGGTGCTACGGCTGCAGCTGCTGTGGCTGCTGATGCTACTGGAATGCAAGGCGATTTTGCTCAGGGCGCTGCTATCGGGAATCCTTCTGTGCGATCTGCTTCTGATGCAGGGAACAAGGGGACAGGTGTGCCTGGTGCTGCTGTGGCAGCAGACGGCAACGGGGCTATTGCAATGGGTGTTGCGGCTACGGCAAACGGTGACGTGGCGACTGCAAACAGCGGTGGCATGGCTGTGGCGAGAGAAGCAGGGGAAGCCACAGCGACAGCAGCAGACGAGGGCGCGTTCAGTGGTTTCGGTGGCGATGCGCACTATTTCATGAGGCTGGAGGGTCGCAGCAACGCGTCGTGCAGCAGTGTAGGCACCATAGAGGGGTTTTCCACAGTCCTCCCCGCGGAGCTGTCTGGGAAGCTGCGCATTCTTCTTGTAAGCACCTGTGTGAGTGTGTGCGTGCGTCAGGAGGCCTCCTGCTCCCATCGCCCTCATGAGTCGTACAGCAGTACTGCAGTTCAGTTCAGGCACCCTGATTGGAGGGACACACTGATTGGAGGGGCTCTCTGCAACTTTTCTCCTGTGGTAGTAAAAAAGTACACGTGGAGCTGTTGGGGAAGCTGCGCACTCGACTTGTACATTCCGCCTGTGTTTGTTTCATGTAGGTTCTTGCTTCCGATTCCATCATGAGTCGTACAGTATTTTTGAGGCGCCTCAAAAGTCGTACAGTACTGAGCTGGGTGGGCCTCACCCTGCCCTTACAGTACTGAGCTGGGTGGGCCTTACCCTGCCCTTACAGTACAGTGCTCTGTCTGTTCACTCGTGCCTCGCTATCCCTGCCTGCCCTTTCGACCTTCCCCCTCCCCCTTCCTTCCCACCCCCTGCCCTCAAGGCTCAAGGTGTTTGAGCAGCATGGTAAGGAATCCATCAGCACTGACTTGGGCTTTAACCTTCTCAGGGCCTCGCTATGCCTGCCTCCTTCCCGTTCCCCTTCCCCTTTCCCCTTCCCGCCCACACCCTGCCCCTTCCCGCTCCCCGCCCACCCCCTGCCCTCAAGGCTCAAGGTGTTTGGGCAGCACGGCAGGGAAGCCATTACCACTGAGCTGGGCTTTAACTTGCTGAAGGTTCTCGTGGGGGAGAGGGAGGTGGTCGAGAAGATAGAGACGGGGAAAAGCGACGAGCCAGGAGGAGGGGAGGAAGATAAGAAGGGAGAGGAGAAGGAAGTGAAGAGTGAAGGGAGAGAGGAGGAGACCGAGGTAGAGGAGGAGGAGAAGGGGGAGAAGGAGGGGGAAGGGAAGGAGGGGACTGTGGGTGGAATGAGCTGGGAGCAACTGGCACTGATATGGCCGCACCTGGTTATCACGGTGGGTTGACCTTTGAGGTGAATTGAAACAGGTGAGTTTGAGTTCTGAGACGTCTCAAAAGAGGTGAATTGAAACAGGTGACTTTGAGTTCCTTCAAAAGAGGTGATTTTTCTGTCGACTCGGAAGTCAGCTGGCAGCAGCTAGCTGGCAGCCTTGCCTAATTATCTGGCCTTGCCTAATTATCTGGCCTTGCCTAATTATCGTGGTGGGCTGGCTTAAGAGTCGCCTTGAAGGATGACCTTTTGGGAATGCTCAAAAGGATGACCTCTGGTCTGGATAGCATCTGTTCCTTCGTGTGTGATAGGGTGTGCAAATTGTTGCTTGTCTCGTGTCTCTCTGTGTCACCACAGTCTTCTTCTGTCAAGTCACTCTGCTTGTCTGTTCTGTCCGTCCGCTTTATCGTATTTACCTTGGTCACTTTGAGTCGGCAGCATCTTTTTGTGTACTCTCTGCAACTGCTGCTGTTGACACAATGCTCTCTGTCTGCATGCGAGCAGATTGAGTGACAATTGACAATCTGTGCACGTGTTGTCAGTCAGTCTGCTCTGTGTCAGTGCAGCTTTCTCCACATGGCTGCTGCTGCTGCTGCTGCTGCTGCTGCTGCTGCTGCGGCTACGTGTAATGAGGTTGTTTTTGAGACGTCTCAAAAACTTTCTCCACGTGGCTGCTGCTGCTGCGGCTGTTGCGTGGGTGTTTCATTGCAGAAGATCTATGAGATAGTTTTGTTGTGCCTGCTCTGCTCTGATCTCTGCTCTGTTGCTGACAGGTCGTGCCCATGGAGAATGTGAATGGGCGGAACAAGGTGGAGAGGGAGGGGGGGTGTTGTTGAGGCGCTTGAAGAATCGTTTCTTTGTACCCGCTCTGGTGCTTGTGCCCGCTCTGGTGCTTGTGCCCGGCTGTTTCTTTGTGCCTGCTCTGGTGCTTGTTCCCGGCTGTTGCTGCCAGGTGGTGCCCATGGAGAATGTGAACGGGCGGAACAAGGTGGAAGCGGGCAAGCTTTGTGAACGCCGAAACGGTGAGATGAGATGTAACAAGGAGGAGAAATGTAACAAAGCAGAATGTAACGAGGAGCGTGGTTGTAGCATGTAGCACAATTGTGGCCTGATTCAGAAGATTTGGCAAGTCTAACACAAATCACAGAACTGGGATGTGGCACTCAAAGATTAGGCGAACGTAAAATCTGATCACCTAAATCCGCTCACATGTTGTGGAATACTTGGTTCTATAGAATTATTAAAAGCCAACTGATTTCGCGGAGATTGCCATTAGGACTCAATCTCCCTCCCACCATAGATATTTTCTTAAATAATCCTTTTCTTAGATATTTCTAAGATCGAGCACATTAAGGAAGACCTCCTACGTTTTACTCAACCCATCCTTCTCTTACCTCTGCCCTTTCCCATTGCCCATCCCCATGGCCCCTTCCCCATGGCCCATCCTCCATGGCAGGCCGGGGCGTGGACATCAACAGGAACTGGGACTGCGACTGGGGCGTGAAAGAAAAGGTAGGTTGCTGCACTATGCTGCCACCACACCATGCCACACCGCACCATGCCACACCACACCCACACCATTCCACATTGCACCATTCCACACTGCACCTCGCCATTTCATGTCACGCCACACCGTTCTCATGCTCCCTCATTCTCTGTCTCCCCCCCCCTGCAAAATCACTACCTCGTAAAGAAAGCCCCTCTTGGCCCTTTGTCCCTTCCGCCTCCCTTGTGCCATAGTAACGAGGTGACTTTTGAGTCGACTCAAAAATGCTCCCTCATTCTCTGTCTCCCCCCCTGCGAAATCACCACCTTGTAAAGAAAACCCCCATTGGCCCTTTGTCCCTTCCGTCTCCCTTGCCCTCTCTCTTGCAGGACTAGAACCCCCTGGAGGAGGCTCCATGTGTTCAGCGGGTTAGAGGGAATGAGGCATCTGGCAGGCAGTGTGTTTGCATGCGCGCACGCGTACCCTTGCTCTAGTTTTGAGGCGCCTCGAAAGCAGGCAGTGTGTTTGCATGCGCGCACGATGCTGCAGGGTGTTTTTGAGAATTCTCAAAAACACCCTGAGACAGCAGGCATGCAGTGTGTTTGCATGGGCCCATGCGTACCCTTGCTCTCGTCAGCCTCCCTTGCCCTCTCTCCTCCTGCACGACCACAACTCCCTAAAGGAGGACTTAAAAGTCCTTTGAGACGCGTCAAAATTCCCCTGGAGGAGGCTCCTGGCACCCACCCACGCATCCAATGAGCCAGAGGCAGAGGCAATGAGGCGGCTGGCAGTGTGGCTGATTGTAACCGATCAGTTATCTCACATCAGTTATCTCACTCTCCCACATTCTCCGTCACTCCATCTCCTATCTTGTCCCCTCCCCAGGACTACAACCCTTTAGAGGAGGCCCCTGGTACCATGCATTTAGCGAGCCAGAGGCAGAGGCGATGAGGCAGCTGGCAGTGAGGCTGCGACCGCACGTGTGGTGTGTGGGTGAATCAACCTCGCCACTCACATGCACACTTCCTTGCTCTCTCCCTCTCTCCTCCCTTGCGCTCTCTCTGGTTCTCAGTACTACAACCCTTTAGAGGAGGCCCCTGGTACCCATGCATTCAGCGAGCCAGAGGCAGAGGCGATGAGGTGGCTGGCAGTGAGGCCGGTTGAACCTCATCATTTCTATTCTCCCTTATCCACTCCCTCCGCAGGACTACAACCCTTTAGAGGAGGCCCCTGGCACCCATGCATTCAGCGAGCCAGAGGCAGAGGCGATGAGGCGGCTGGCAGTGTGGTTTCGGCCGCACGTGTGGGTGAACGTGCATTCGGGCATGGAGGCGCTTTTTACCCCGCTGGACCACCGGGGGGATGGCGTTGATGGGAGCACACTTGCCGCCATGCATGTAAGAAGAAGAGGAGGTTTTGAGAGGTAAAGTGTGGTCCAGGCACACGTGTGGGTGAACGTGCATTCGGGCATGGAGGCGCTTTTCACTCCGCTAGATCACCGGGGAGACGGTGTGGATGGGAACACACTCGCTGCCATGCATGTAAGTGAGAGAGTATGGAAGGGAGGGGCTAAGAAGTTGCGAGGGCAAGGAGGGGAGGTATGAGTGTTGTGACCACACGTGTGGGTGAACGTGCATTCGAGCATGGATGCTCTTTTCACTCCCCTTGACCAGTGGGGGGACGGCGTTGATGGGAACACACTCGCTGCCATGCATGCGAGATTGCGATAAGCGAGGGAGGGACGGACGGAGGGAGGGAGGAGGGTAGGGAGGGAGGGGAGGGACACATATCACGGTCAATTTCCATGCCCTCATCCCTGTCCTTCCAGTCACCGTCTGACTCGCATCCCCTTGCAGTGCCTGCTGCATCGCCATTCCACAACATACATCACATCTCTTCCCTCTCTCTCTGCTTCCCAGTCCCTCTTGGAACACCTGGATGTAACCCACTGTGGTGCTCGCTGGGACACCAATCACGCCTATCCTGTAACCCCTCACCTCCCACCCTCTCTCCTCTTCTCCCCCTCTGTCTCCCCTCCCCAGTCCCTCTTGGAACGCCAGGATACAACCCAATCCACTGTGGCGACTTTTGAGTTGACTCAAAAGTCAACTGGATACAGCCCATTGTGGTGCCTGCCCAATGTACTTCTCTTTGTGTCACCTTGCCATGCATCCCTCACTTCGTGATAAAAGAGTTGTTTTGAGACGTCTCAAAACAACTCTTTTATCCCATGCCATGCATCACTCACTTCCTCATTCCCTCCCCCCTCCAACATCAACTCTCCCCTAGCCAGGCCCTCTTAGAGCACCTGGATGCGACTCACTGTGGTGCTCGCTGCGTTATTGGCTCTGGCGGGGGCTTTGTCGGGTGAGTGCTGCGAGGTTGAAAGTGGTGATGCAAGGTTGAGAGTGGTACTCTTCTTGCTGGGGAGTACCTCTCTCGCTCGCCCCACGGCCAGCATGTATGCACTCACTGATTGATCGGCCCCTCAACCCTTCCAAACCTACTTTCCCTCTTATACCCTGATTCATGCGACAAATGACTTTAGAGAATTCTCAAAAGTGCCTTCCAAACCTACTTTCCCTCTTATACCCTGATTCATGCGACAAATGTTTGTAGAGTGTCTCCTCACAACCGCCCCTCCATCTTCTCCTCCTCTCCCTTTCTTTCTATCACATGCAGGTACTTAGCCCATGGCACAGCCACTGACTGGATGTACGACATGCTTCGAGTGTTTGCAACAAGGTTTTGGGATGTTTGATTCTTCCTTCCCTCAACCCCCCATCCCCTTCACAGGTACTTTGCCCATGGTACAGCCACTGACTGGATGTATGATGTGCTGCGGGTGCCACTCGCCTTCACGTTTGAGGTGAGTGAATTCCAACTGATACATGCTGTTACTCCGTGCTTTGTTACGAGGTGACTTTGAGTCGACTCAAAAGTCACCTCGTTACAATGACACACGTTTGAGGTGAGAGAACCCCAACTGATGCATGTTGTTACTCCGTGCTGTGTTACTCCGTGCTTTGTTACTCCGTGCTTTGTTACTCCGTGCTGTGTTACTCCGTGCTGTGTTACTCCGTGCTTTGTTACTCCGTGCTTTGTTACTCCGTGCTTTGTTACTCCGTGCTTTGTTACTCCGTGCTTTGTTACTCCGTGCTTTGTTACTCCGTGCTGTGTTACTCCGTGCTTTGTTACTCCGTGCTTTGTTACTCCGTGCTTTGTTACTCTGTGCTTTGTTACTCCGTGCTTTGTTACTCCGTGCTTTGTTACTCCGTGCTTTGTTACTCCGTGCTTTGTTACTCCGTGCTGTGTTACTCCGTGCTTTGTTACTCCGTGCTTGTGTTTACATCCTCGATTTTGCCCCTTCCCTGCATTGTCTCATTTTCTCTTTCTCTGTTGCAGTCTACAGTGCTCTGTTCCCCAGCTTCACCTCCTTTTTAGATTCACTTTGTTCTCTCCCTCTAATCCATCGCTCCACACGTGCTGACTCCACTCCGTCATCCACTCCCCAACCCCACACACGCACACACCCTGACCGCACTTGGGCCTTCGGCCGCATCACATCCCTTCACCCATCCCTTCCCCTTCGAACCACATCGTCGCCTCCATTTCCTCGGTTGCTCACCAGACATATGGAGATGAGAGTTTTCCCACCTCCGACTGCTTCCCGCTCTTCAACCCGATCACAACCGATAAGTTCCAGGTACCCACTCCGGTTTCGCTGTCCTGTGCTGTCCCATAGAGTAGTTAGCATGCTCTTTTTGAAAGGGCGGCAATTCGCTGGGCTCCTTGACATTGTATGGCTCCTTCTTCACGAGTTGACTTTTGAGTCGACTCAAAAGTCAACCAGCAATTCGCTGGGCTCCTTGACAATGTATGGTTCCTTCTTCACGCCACTACAGTAGCACTTTCTGCTACAAGTTGCACCAATGCTTTGCTTGCCACGTGCTTTCGCTTCATGCCTATTACCAGGTACTGTACTCATCCCTTACATTTGCCCTGCCTCTCTTTCTTTCCCAATGCCTCCTCCACTAAAATGAATGGCATGCAGGAGATGGTGAACTCATGGTCAGCCCTCTTCATCTCCTTCCTCGCTTTGCCCTTGCCCCTCTTCCTCAGTGTTTGCCCGTCGCCTCTCTTCCGCTCCCTGTGTCTCCCAAAACGCAATGAATGGCATGCAGGAGGTGGTGAACTCATGGTCAGCCCTCTTCATCTCCTTCCTCGCTTTGCCCTTGCCCCTCTTCCTCTGTGTTTGGCTGTCGCCTCTCTTCCTCTCCCTGTGTCTCTCTCACAATGAAATGAATTGCTGAATTGCCCCCACATCGCAATGCATGCAGGAGGTGGTGAACTCATGGACAGCCCTCTTCATCTCCTTCCTCGCTCTCCTACCCGACACACTCCACAAGGTTCCTCACCGCCTGCAACCCCCTTTCACCTTCACTCTCCCTCCGCCTCCCACACCTCCCCCTCCACTTCCTCTTCCAGTTTCACTCGCTCCACACCACCCCACCACACATATGGCCTCTCATCTCGTCTCGCTTTCACGGCTGCAGATGCCGTTGCCGCATCTGCACTTTTTGCTGCCCCTTGTCCTCCTTTTAGGCCTGTCTGCTATGGTTCCACGGTTGTTTGCTGTTGCTGTAAGGTCAGAACATACACGAAGGCGCATAATGCGTCGACTACTGCGCAGGCAATGGTGATAGATGGTCATTCAACATCTGCGAACATTTCTGTGATGATAGTGAAGTTTTCGTTGCACTTGCTTTAGTGCAGAGTTCTATAGAAAATTACTGGCACCATATTTCAGAGAGCTGGCCAGGGAGTTTTTTCCTGCGCTCTACCATGGCAATGAAATTGCAGGCTGGAAATTTTGCAAGTCATGAAGAGCTTAGCTTGGAGGTGACATGTCATTGCTGATGGAAGTTCACACAGAATGTACTTCCACTGCTGATCTCAATTTACAAAAGCCACCCAATTTACAGAAACCACCAGGTGTATACATCAAAGGCCACAGAACAAAACACAGCCTACTGTCCGCCACGAAGGCGGAGGACAAGGTGGAGGGTGGACTCCTTCTGAATGTTGTAATCCGCAAGGGTGCGCCCATCCTCCAGCTGCTTGCCAGCGAAAATCAGACGTTGCTGGTCAGGAGGAATGCCCTCCTTGTCCTGGATTTTCGCCTTCACGTTGTCAATGGTATCGCTGCTTTCCACCTCAAGGGTGATGGTCTTCCCAGTCAGAGTCTTGACAAAGATTTGCATACCACCACGGAGACGCAGGACCAGATGCAGCGTTGACTCCTTCTGGATGTTGTAATCCGCGAGCGTACGTCCATCCTCGAGCTGCTTACCGGCGAAGATCAAGCGCTGCTGATCAGGGGGGATACCCTCCTTATCCTGGATTTTCGCCTTAACGTTGTCGATGGTATCGCTGCTCTCCACCTCAAGAGTAATAGTCTTGCCCGTGAGAGTCTTGACGAAGATTTGCATACCACCGCGGAGGCGCAGGACCAGATGCAGCGTCGACTCCTTCTGAATGTTGTAATCCGCGAGGGTGCGTCCGTCCTCGAGCTGCTTGCCGGCGAAAATCAGACGCTGCTGGTCGGGAGGGATTCCCTCCTTGTCCTGAATCTTAGCCTTCACGTTGTCGATGGTATCGCTGCTCTCCACCTCGAGCGTAATAGTCTTGCCAGTGAGCGTCTTAACGAAGATTTGCATGCCACCACGGAGACGGAGCACCAGATGAAGAGTGGACTCCTTCTGAATGTTGTAGTCGGCGAGCGTACGACCATCTTCCAGCTGCTTGCCGGCGAAAATCAAGCGCTGCTGGTCAGGAGGAATACCCTCCTTGTCCTGGATTTTCGCCTTGACGTTATCGATGGTGTCGCTGCTCTCAACTTCAAGGGTGATGGTCTTGCCGGTGAGGGTCTTAACAAAGATCTGCATACCACCACGAAGGCGGAGCACCAAGTGAAGGGTAGACTCCTTTTGGATGTTGTAGTCAGCAAGAGTACGTCCGTCCTCGAGCTGCTTGCCGGCGAAAATCAGGCGCTGCTGGTCAGGAGGAATACCCTCCTTGTCCTGAATCTTAGCCTTGACGTTGTCGATGGTATCGCTGCTCTCCACCTCAAGGGTGATAGTCTTTCCCGTGAGGGTCTTAACGAAGATCTGCATACCGCCGCGGAGTCGAAGCACCAGGTGAAGGGTAGACTCCTTCTGGATATTGTAGTCAGCGAGAGTGCGTCCGTCCTCAAGCTGCTTGCCGGCAAAAATCAGACGCTGCTGGTCAGGAGGAATACCCTCCTTGTCCTGAATCTTAGCCTTCACGTTATCGATGGTGTCGCTGCTCTCGACCTCAAGGGTGATGGTCTTGCCCGTAAGAGTCTTCACGAAGATCTGCATGGTGGCTGACGAGACTGAGCCTACTGAGATAAGGTAATAGCTGCAAGAGAGAAGGCTGAAATATGAACTCGAAATTGTACCCAAAGCTCGACTGCTCAGGAATTAAGAACAGAGCAAATATATATTCTGCTTAGGGAATGGTTGAGTATGGCTGAAGTTTTGAGCTAAGCGAAAGACTGATGAGCTAGGCTGAAAATGGTGGGAGTCGGTTCGGGAGACGGTTCGGCATGAAAACCAGGTCAGAGGTAAAGAGGTAAGGGAAGGGAAAAAGCCCAGATTATTGAGAAACGCGTTCGGAAACTTCAAGAAGCTACCAGGTTTGGACACTTCAACAAGCAACCAGGTCCGGAAACCCCAACAAGCAACCAGGCATGGACAACCACCTTTGGCAGGTTTCAGGTTCGATGACATCGGTTTCTCCGCAGCATGATGGCAGTTTTGCCTGCCTCGGCAAGGCTTTTGGTCTGGTTCGGCTGGGTGGTTGGCATGGTTTCTGCCAGCAGCGAATGGCGAAAGTCATTCATTGCATTCCCGTCACGTCAACGGCGATCATGAAGTGGTTGAGACTTGAACGCCACTCGTCGCCATATGGAGCCAGAGTGGTGACTGTTTCGCAGGGCTTCGCGCGACGGCAGTGCCACCTCTAGCACCAAACCTGCAAACGAACCTGCGCAGGTTCGCTTCTTGGCAGAGTTTAAAATAGTGCTGAAAGATTTAAATGCGTTCACAAAGTTTTTAGTACGGTGCAATCACCGAGCCTGCGGTCGAACGTGCAAAATTGTGGTTGTGACGGGTTCTCACACGCTGCGAAGCAAACCGAACTCCAGGCGAAACTGGTGGGACATTCCCCAAGCTTCGCCAAGAACTCCGAAGTTCTGCTGAAGGGCAAAGCCGAATGCTGCGCGAAGGATCGCTTTCTTCGTTACGATCCTTCGAGAACCGAGGTGTGGGAACCTGAACCCAAAGTTGTTACACTTCAACATTTTTTACAAACTGGTGGACAGGAAGCAATATATGGATCTAATATAATAATGTTTGAAGGATTAGCTGACCTAGCCCGCATCAACACGCTCAATTAGCCCGATTATGCATGCTTAAAAAACTCTAAATTTCATATTTAATATTAATCTTAAATTTCATTACGAGGTTCATATTCTTTAGCCTCATGCCTAGTGAAACTGTTCTGCTTCCAAAGCATTTGCATCACTCCAAGATAAGAAAAGCTGTTAAAGTGATATAGCGCTAACACTATTCCATACACTCTATGGAAGCAAAATAGGGGAGAGTGAAGGTACCGAGTCGAGAGAAGCGCCATTATAGCAAGGACAGCAAAATGTTCGGTTCCCGTTTCTCTTCATTGCCTGTGCCCAAACCGCAGCCCGGGCCTTGGCGAGGAAGCTCGAGGTCAAGTGCGGAGGGAATATCGTTGACGCGGACCGCAACTGCAACCGGCCAATCGCCGGCACCGCTTAGCTTCAGGTAACCGCGTAGTGTCGTGTAACTTCGCGACAGCTTCACTGCAGCGAATTCGCGTGCTGACCTGAGCCGCAATATGCCAAAATGTTGCATTGCGAAACCATGCACCGCTTTCCGCACCGCATGTCGGCAAGTTGACGCGCTCCCAAGCCTCCAATGATGTTGGATATAAATTGCGTTTCGTGCTTCGAACCCTTCCATCGAATCCATTCGTGCCTCCTCAACTCATCTCACTTTCATCAAGCTTGATATTTGTCAGCTCGAACAATCTCCCCAGCAGTCCAATCAGACTCTTCTGGTCTTGGTTTCCACAACTCCGCGACCCAACAATTTCGTAACGACAATCGTGCGCACATTAGCGGAAAATGGCCAGCTCACGGTTCATTCCTCTCTTTGGCCTGCTCTGCATCGTGCTATGCTTCGCTACCGCTCACGCGCAAGCACAAGCGAAGCCCACCAAGGCGCAAATAAAAGCCGAGCTGCAGAACATGGCGAACGCTATCTCCAAGAAGTACCCGCAATACGCTAAATACGCCAAGGACATCAACAAGTACATCGGCCTAGCACGTAAGGACTCCAACTCGTTACATTTTTTTTCACTCTCATTACTACTACGGTTTAGCCTCGTTCCATTCTCGTTCAAACGCGCGGCGAGCAGAGTGTCCCTCATTTAAAATCGTAATAATGCGGGAGATACGGGCTATCGTGCTCCTTTCTTTGTTATTTAGTTGAGTGATCTGCACATCTCGCCACCAATCAGCTATATTCTCTTTACTAGCCCGCGTTTTGATAGTATCGGAATCCGCTCTCAGATTCTATCTTCCCTCTCCCTCTTCCGCTTTCCCCCTCCCTCTCTTTCTATCTCCAGTGAACTCCAAGTACGATTTCACGGCTCTTAGCGATGCAACCCTCCTACTCCCCAGCGACACGGAGGCTCAGGCCCTCGCTAAGAAGGTCCCCGCTAACAACAAAAACATCCCGAAGATCTACAACATCACCGCGTACCACATCATCCGCAAGAAGTACACCATTCCCGCGCTCAAGGTGCTCAAGAAATCGCAGCCGCTGGGCACGCAGCTGAAGCAGGCGATGTACAAGGTTTCGGTGCAGAATGGTAACACCGTTTCCTTCGCCAAGGCTCCCAACGCGCCTCCCGCCGCGTGGACGACGATCAAGCTCGTGAGGCTGTACGCTGGGCCGTACTTCATCGCCCACGGCGTGGATAAAGTCCTAATTCCCACTTACACCAAGGTGTAATCCTTCAGGTTACCTGAACGTGGCTCGGTGCGCAGTTGACAGTCAGTCGTGCTGCTGGTTCAACCTCTGAACTAGGGATGACTGGTGGTCAACTGAGCATCAAGGCATGTTCTCGGAAGGCATTATGATGCAGCTATGAATATGGTACTGTGTATAGCAGTTGAATCTGTGTTTTACTTCCAATATAGTGCGGCTTTTAAACTGTTCAATCTTTGGGCAAAGACTAATCTTTCACTGAAGAACTAACCAGAGAAGATCTAACCGAACTGCAGTCGGTATAGAATGTTGAAATTATTTTCTCTGCTGAACCCAACGCTGCAGCACGGATGGAACCCATAAGCCCTAGAATTGAATGGGTTGATAGATATTTAATGTCGTTCGGGTTATGTTTGTGCGCGTACTTATATAGGACACATTTGTACATTATTGAGGACAATATCGTTTTCTTGCATGAGAGCTGCTGAAGGTTTATTGTGCATGGAAGAATTGCATTGAAAAAAGAAAATGTATAGCAATAGGCCAGATTGAGATACCCCAAAAGGTCATTCTACTGTGGTTTCCTTCCTACTTTCTAATATTCAATAAATCCCTTAACTCGTCCAAATGGAATCTTCCTATGCCCAATACATCCCCACCCCAACCAGCCTATAAAACACTTCTAGAAACGACTTCACTTTCATTAGACTAAGGAGACTTGTTTCCAAGCCGCCTACATCAAGGCAGTTCTTACCAATTCCGATTCCGCACGGACATGCCAGTCTCCTCGTGTGACTTGATTCTGGGGTTGCGCTGGATTGTTTATCCGAGTCGTCGCCGAATGGAACCAGCACGCTCGCGCACCGATCAGCCTGAAGCGGCTGCTGCGCCAGCCGTAGTGCCAGCTGCAATGCCAGCTGCTACCGTATGTCACCTGCTAAGCCAGCTGCTATGCCAGCTGCTATGCCACCTGCTAAGCTAGCTGCTGTGCCAGCTGCTATGCGAGGTGCTATGCCAGATGCTCTACCCTGCTACTATGCCAGCTATTTAACGCGACACGCCATAACGCCAGCTATTTAACCTCTTTCGGAGGGCTTATCAAAATCCCATTTCTTTCAACAAGAAACACCTTCTTTCACCCAGATGCATGCACTTTTGAACTCTGATTCTCGCCTTTCCAAACGACTCAACCATGCCATCCTGCTGCTTCACACCCATGTAGCTACTTCAGACCCCTGCTGCTGGGTCAGCCCCTGCTGCTGCACCAGCCCCTGCTGCTGCTTCACACCCCTGCTGCTGCCTCGCACCCGCTGCTGCTGCTGCTGCTGCTGTTGCTTCACAGCGCTGCTGTTGCTTCACAGCGCTGCTGTCGCACACCCATGCAACGCATGAGCCACCCATGAGCCATCTATCAGCCCTTAGTGCACTCTGCTCGCCGTGCCACAGGATTCGAGGACCATGCACTTACTTGCTCACGCACCCTGATGGACCAAGATCAGGAGCACAGTCAAATCTTTATTGCGCTTCCTACAAATTTGGCATCACCATGGATTGTCATTTCCTCTTTCGTCTTCTCTTGGATATTTCCTCAGAATGAGCAAACTGCTCCAGTTCCTGCTTCTTGCTGGCTTGAACTGATTCTTGCTCTTGAGAAACCTCCCCTCCTCCTTTTCTTCCCTTCCTTCCCTTTCCACCCTTCCCTCCCTTCCCTTCCCTGCCTGCATCTTCCCTCTCTTCCTCGCCTTCCTTCTCGTCCGCACCCCCCTCCTCACCGAAATCCGCCCCTTTAAACCCGAGCTCCTTGATAATATCCCAAGCCACTTCGTCAACAGGCATCACCGACAACCTTGATTGGCGAACCAGCGCGATGTGACTCAATCGCGAGTCCTCCTTAATAGCACGCAGCGTCACGGGGTACCGAAACGCCTCAACGGTCTCTACATCCACCATGCCGAATTTCTCGGTTTTGTCGCTGGGATCTGGGTAATAATCCTTGCAAATTCGGACAATCCCCATGACTCGACGCTCCTTGCCTGAGTAGCGAATAGTGTAAGAAAATAAATGAAAAACAAACAATAATTCGATATGCTGGAATTGTGACCTATCAGATGAAGTGAAGTTTAGAAGCTCAATGGAAAATCCTCACAATCCGCACACCTTGCTGACTCTTGCCTGAGATCACGGTTCTGAAGTCTGGACACCATCTGAAGTGTGGACACTTTGGTAGCAATGAACACGTCTGATTGGCTGCCATGCTCCAAGATTTCTCGCAACTTGTGTAATGACCAATG